TATTCTTTAAAACACGGGAAAATGCCCTATTTGCTCGCAGTCTACACAGTCGCCTTTTTTTTTTTTTTTTGTAGTGACAGGCATATTAATAGTTGAACACATCGTTCGCAACAGTAGTTGGGGAAGTTAAATAAGTATTTTAATTAGTGAAATTAGGCAGTTAAGTCGAATGGGAGAATTGAAGTGCTTCATTCCAAAAACTCATTGTCACTTTGAGATTTGGGAAAATCAGCCTCTAGTAAAACTGCAAATTAATGAAGTTCTCCAGAATTATGCGTCGAAACCGAAACCAAAGGACCGGTAAGCGCAACAAGCAGACGACGAAAATGACGTTACTATCGAAAACAGCAGTTACAGGGGTGCAGTTTTTCCCCGTTCAATAACGCGCGTGAGTCATGCGTGCTGTAGTTGCGAGCGCATCCCACACAACGAAGCCAGTTGATGGTTGATATAACAAAGCTCCCTAATTTCGGACGTCTCAGAAGAGTAAGGCAGTTGCGCTCCTTCACGTTTCGGTTTCGCTAAGTGGCAATGGGTTCTTCGCATGAAGCACTTCAATTCTTCCATTTGACTTAACTGCTTAACTCCACTAATTAAAAAAAGTTAATTATTATAACTTTCCTAACTGCTGTTAAAATGAGGTCGTCAACCCTTTTAAGATGTCTGCCACTACAGAAAAAGCAACTATGAAGACTGCGAGCAAATAACGCCTTTTGCTGATTTTTTAAAAAGAATATTGGACACATTTCTTGAAACATGCTTCGGTCCCTGCCAGCAGCAAGTTAAATCTTTTCGTCCACTTTTCTTCCCTCCATCCATTAATTAAGAAATCAAGCTGCCGCCGCTTGCATCGTGTATTAAATATGCATATATGAGTAGAATTTCCTAAGCACACATGCACGTATACCCAATGCAATGGGCGTTGGAATTTCGGGAGGGGGGGGGAATGAAAAGTCCCGCATCCCCAAATAATTATGACTGCTCGTAAACTTTCTTAAACTGTGAGGGAATCAAGACCAAGACACAATTGTATGCAACATTGAGAACACTGCGCGCACAGACTGCCAGCTGTTTACTTTCTGGAAAGCAAGGAGCAGATTTTTTCAGCCGGAAGCCGACGTACCCGATCCTTCGATCACGCATCTGCCGGAAAAAAAAATATTAACATACTGCTGATTAAGAGTGTAGCCGAAGGCAGCGTTCAAACGCACATCTAGAAACGTGGCACCAATATCGCTTATGCTTTGCACATGTGAAGAAGCAAACATGGAATAATAAAAAAAACACAAAAGCCGGTTGTGACATAATACCCTAAACTAGGGTGAAAAGACGATGACCAGTGGCGTAGCCAGAGCGTGGCACACTGCACCCGTTCCCCCGCCCCTTCCTGAGTTTTTTTTTTTTTTTCGCTATGGGATGCAGAGGGAGAAATGACCATTTCAGAGAGGAGCCACCTTATGCACAGAAATTACGAAATCAAGCCCCTTCCTCGAACAAAAATTTCTGCTTACGCCCTTGGTGATCACGACTGAAAGGAAGATTGTCGAATCGTATGGCATCATAAAACCTGGTGACAAATGTAATAGCACGCCGTCTATTTTATTATTGATAGAAGTAGTTACTTTCCTGGGAGTGCACGCCCTGTAAAAGCTGCCTTTTTGCATTGTTTGTTTGTTTGTTATACATGCAAAATTAGGGTGAGCGTCAGAGGGGTCTTCATGCGGTTTATTATTCATTTTTTGAGCGTTCATTCTTTAATGTTTTCATCAAGTGATATTGTTTGTTGGTAATTCATGCAAATTGGGGTGAGCGCCAGATAGGCCGAGGGGTCTTCATATGGTTTATTATCCATTTGTTGAGCGTTCAATATGTAATTTTTTAGCAAGCAATACTGCTTGATGAAAACATTACATATTGAACGCTCAACAAAGAGATAATAAACCACCTCTTCGCATCTATCGCTCAGCGATTTCTAGAAATGTCGAGAAGGAAGGGGTGATCGAGTCACTTCCTAGTTGCGTCACGGGTCGTGGAGATTACTAGAAAGGTCCCGCACCTTCCCCAGCTATGGCTGTGCGGCGCGCCGACGAAACTTCGAAAACCCAGAACGACGTATAAAGGCAGCCGTCGGGGAAAGGCAAAAGGAAAAGATTAAGAGTGCTTTCCACCATCAAGCGAAGGCTTGTCCTACAGTGGCAAAGCAAGAGGTGCTTTTAACCAACGGCTGAAGGCTTGTCTTACAAGAAGCAGTTTAAGTATGGTTTTCCCCCAGTGGGAGAAGATGTTCTGCAGTAACAGCGTGTGAGTGCTCGACGTGTTACCGGCTAAGAAGTTTGTGCGGTCAGTGGACGACGCGAGAGTTTCAGAGAAACCTCGGACGCAGTGGGACGACGACCGGTGCTGAATTTTGAGTGTTTCCTTGAAAAGAAGCATTCAAGCTTTGTTCCAAGAAATTTGGACTGGATACGTTTGACGAACATTTTAGTCTATAAGTATTTTTGTTGGTTAATGCACGAGACTGCATTGTAGCTCGTGTTGCTGTTTGTGCCCGTGTTTTAAGTGTATTCGAGTACCTTAAGATACTTAAGTCACAATTGTGACTGGTGTCGTATTGTATTGGATAACTACCGAGTGTGAATGTTCGTGTGTTTATTGTTCTGCCTTATCTGAGAATATATTTTTGGTTTCGTTATCAACTCGGCTCTGCCTCATTTTTTGGACCAGAGCCGGCGTTTGTTGCGCGCCGTTTGTTACACTTAATTATCCGCGATTTCGTGGTGCAACTCAGGGGGCCGATACGTCAGCCCTTGGAATTAGCCAGGCAATCGCTTCCCTAATTAACGGGACTCGTGACACCTTCGGAACGCGCTTTAGCCCGTTACGGACAGCTGTCACGTTAGAACAGAAAGATCAAGTCAGCTGTGCTGCGTCGCGGGCCCGTTGGACTGCCTTAACTCTTGTTTGAGTTCGGAGCTGGTAATAGCACCCTCCCATTTAGAAGGCGTGATGACTTCACCACAGCTTAACGTGGGGCACCGTCAGAGCATGTGTTCAATTATCTATATGCCATAGCAGAAGGATCATGTATTAGTTGGCTGCTTTTCGGAATAAGGCTTGTGCAATAGCACGAAGTTATGGTACGCCCCACTGAAGAAGCCTGAATGTCAGAGCTTGAGGTCTGCTTATTTTCTGTGTGTAGTTGGTATTGTCTCCGCGCCAGGTAAAAATCCTTTGTCAGCTCGTTAGACGAGATTGGAGGGTCCTGGTTTTCTAAAACACCAGCGGCGCGCCCCTTGATACTTGTCCTTGCGCAGCTATGTGGGCTGACTCGTTGACATTGGGCGGGGCTCTCTCAATGCATCATTTGTGAGCTGGGAACAAAACGACAGTTTGTGGTGGATCTCCTTGTCCTGAAGGATCCGCTAAGCCTGTTCCGACATTGTGCCCTTGGCAAATGCTCTCCGCCGACCTCAAGTCGCTGTAAATTGTAGACCTCCTGTTGTCCACGAAGACCAACGCGATCGCCACTGCTCTGCTATTTCAGTCATCGTCTTGCGGACCGTTGTGGATGCTCTCTGCCGCATACGCCTACCCCTCGGGACAACATTCCGCATCGACGAAGCAACAGTCTCCGGCGTGTTCATGAGCCCTTTGTGGTAGAGCCTATGCCTTAGCCCACCTTATATACCCTTGTTATGGTCAGGAGGGGGGGGGGGGGCATTTCGCAGAATAGGGACGATGATTTGTTCTTGTTGTTGACGAAAAATTCTGCAGAAGCGAGACTTAATTTCTATCGGTGGAATTCCCTGCTCCCGCAGGACGTGTGGACAGCCTGGCGAATTGCGTCCTCTCCTGTGCCTCCGCGATTTCTTCGAGCGTGTTATGCATGCCAAGACGAAGCAATTTGTCCGAGCTTGTGTACATGGAAAGCCCAAGAGCTTCTTGACAACCTTTCTGATTAACGTATTGAGCTTATCACGCTCCGTCCGACATCTGCCAGCTGTGCATGGCTGCCACGTAGGTGAAATGACACATCACAAAGGCGTGTACCAGCCTGACGAGTTCGTTTTCTCTAGGTCCCTTGTCTATTGGAAACCCTTCTTATCAGTCTCATGGCATGCATTGTCAGTTTTTTTTTTCTTGCAAGTCTCGTTACTGTGAGGTTATTGGAGCCAAACAAACAAACAATGCAAAAAAAAAAAAGCTTTTACAGGGCGTGCGCTAAAAGGAAAGCAACTTCTTTTGTCAATAATGAAATGGAGGGTGTGCTATTACATTTGTCAACAGTTTTTATGATGCCATATATGACAATCTTCCTTTGAGTCTTCCTTTGAGAGAGAGAGAGTGTGTGTGTGTGTGTGTGGTGTGTGTGTTTACATATACAAGGAAGGTAAATATCTTAAAACAAGATGCACCACTGCTTGCGAACACTTTGATACTTATAATAGAACTATTCTTATAATACAAAACATCGTCATAAATTTGCCTGCTTGTGATGGCGACGCCAATAGAATATTTGGAAAGCAGCAAATTTTAGGTGTTGAATCAAAATGAGAACTGGTTACAATGAAATTACGCAGATTAACAGACGGGCTATATATACAATTGGCACTTTTAAGTATGTGTGTGTGTGTTGTTTCTATAGGTTTAATATGTATTAGGCCTTTTGGAAAGCAATAATTATATTTTCCGCCAAACTGGCATGATAAAACAGAGTCGATCGTCACCGATTAATGTTACAACGTTACTTATACTCGGGTTTCTCGTGAAATAATCGAGCGATGTAGGCTCAGATGAGGGACAATGTGCTCTGGATATCGTAGAGACTGCCGACAAAACAAGCGTATAATTTAATCATGGTTTTGATACTTCTCCTAGTACACTGTAATGACTACTGCGCTGACGGGTCCCGTCACTATAACGATAGTACTGCGTCGACGGGCCCCGTGACCATAGTCACTGCGTGGCTATAGTGCTAGTGCTTCCCCTGCCGCCGTTGGTGTCGTCGTTGTTGGGGCGCTGGTTGGTTCTCCCTTCCACCACATAATCGGCCCCGTCGATTTGGCTGGTGACCGCCATATTGTTTGCTTTGTGAACTCCTGTGAATGCCGTGAATTGCACCTAACTACTATTCTGCCTATATTCCTAGAGCAGTCTTTTGTTGGAGGTATGAAGGACGACACTCATTTATTACTCGTTTATAGAAGTTCTTTGTAGGTTGTTCATTCTGAATTAAATCGGGAGGTCATCCGGGGTTTGTGAAGTGCCACGAAAAATTACTGTTGTTGGTAGTATCAAGCGCTCTGGTTAGATTTATTCATTTTAAAGGGCAAATCAAGGATATCAGCTTCAGAGTTATGGCTGAATGGAATTGTGAAAGGCAAAGAGCTTCACAAAAATGTTGCTTGGTCACTACTCAAGGGACTACGCAATGTGTGGACTTCTTTTATTGTCTCAGTGCTTATATGCGGCGTCTACCATTTTGTGATCAAAATACACTGTGTGTAGCCGGTTGACTAATTTTATTACTCTTATGAATATCTGATTGACTATGAATATCTGATTGACGTGATGTCTTTGTGCATACGAAGGTGGGGCTGGACGTATGAGCAGTAGAGGTTGAAATAGCAAAGCATTGCAGTGAAAATGTGTCAAATTTGCAGGTGTGATACGATATTGCTTCGAGCGACGTGTTGCTGTTCATGTCATAGAGCGTACAAAGGTTTACAGTTAGGTTCAGTAGGGCCTAGGGCCTTGTCGTTCGGCAGCGCTGCAATAGCAGCACGGCCGAACGACAAGGCGTTCCAAAGCACGTGTTCAAAGCGCACTATTCGTGATGGCCAATGAGCAGCCCTGTACATGTACCCGGCACAGAAAACAGGAGAAAATCTGTGCTTGTAAAAAAACACAAGAAAAGTATTGATTATGCATTCCTAGAGTTGTTCGTGTCCTCAGAATCGTTAAAGACGTTACAGCAGGTTCGGCAGCATTTTGTATCTCGCAGGAAGCCACGAAATGCTGATGAACTTAAGCTCGCACTCTTGAAAAAGTATTGTTTTTAGGCAAGAGTGTATTGGTGGCGGCCAGACATTGAGGGATATGCTGTTGTGCCATTCCGCTTGCCCCGATAACAGGAGCTGTCATAAATGTGAAGTTTTGATGCGTCATCATGCATGTAATTTGTGCTGCTTTGATGTAGGTGTTTAATGACCATTTGCAGAAATCTGCAAGGTGGCTTTCCTGCAAGGTTTTTTTTTTCAACCAAAAAGAAAAAAAAAAAACTCTGCCCAGACTGCTTTTCTTGCTCACTGTGCTTTTACCACTCCTATTCTAACGAAGACACGTGAGTGTGACAAAACGACTTTTTCCCAACAATTACGTGTGGTGTCCCACCTCAAATGAACCCTAAGGTGCATGGCGGGCGGGACACATGTCGTTTGTAAAGAAGGGAGTTGGGGAATGCAAAACACAATGAGTGAGTAAAGCAGTCTGGGAACAAGACCTTTTGGTTGGAAACCAACTTTGCAAGAAAGCCAGCTTGGAGATTTGCGCAAATGGTCAATTGTAAAGAAGGTGCATGCACTAGTGTTATGACCGCATGGTGGGTGACTTGAAGCATTAGTAGTTTCTGCAGTACATTGTTAGGCTCAAATCTTCTGTCCATTTACGATTCCGCTGTATAGATTATTTTCCATAAGACACCTGGGTGTGCCATTTTGGCATGTCAAACCTATGTTTTCTTGTTTTTGCATATTGTGATGTGAATTATTAAATGGGGCAAAACATCGTATAGTTAACCCAATCGTATTCGTGCATATGTGTCTACTGTGACACTGTCCGTTTACTTGTTAAAGATACAAAACACAAAGGTTCAGAACCCAACATTGCATTTTTACCTATATGAATACACTAAGCAACCATTTACAAAATGTATGTTCACTGAGACAAGCTCCAACACCGACAGCTTGCGCACAGGACATATGCAGTGTTTGCTGAGGTATTTTATTGGCCTGAATGTAAAATTGGATTGTGGTCACGCTGCAGCATAGCCACAAATAGATCCCTGTGTGACAAGGGTCTGTGTGGTTTCCTACACGCACACACATTGCACGTGGCACACACACACACTGAACGAACTATTGACTGATAAACCTGTAGTTGTTTTCAATGCTCATAGTGCTCCCTGACGTAACCCGGCGAGAACATAATTTCACCTGTGTTAGTACATGGTCCTACAATAGAAATACTGTTTCTCTAGCAGAAGATGTTTGTAAGCCAGCAGAGGTGCAAGAAGTAGTGTATAGCATTTTTACATTCCTGCACGGGCTTGTTCCGTTGATGTAGATTTGACCGTCAACTTTTGCCTACTTGCCAAACTTATCAAAATGGACTATTGTGTCCCAAAGGAGCATAAAACTGAACCTAAGTTTGGAACTTTTATTGAGCTTAGAGTGTAAGTAAAGTAAAATATCCTGAAATCTGTAATGTCACTCTAATCTACTGGCATTGTGCTTCCAGTTTGAAATAAAAAAAGGGACCTTGCACCTTTATCTGCTCTTTGTAATTAGTCCTATCATAAAGTTAGTAGCAGTTCAAGAATCTTATTTTACTAAATTGGTTTAATATCGCTCTTTAGGGTCCCTTTAAGTTGTGCTTCCTTAATTGCCCTTGCTTCTCTCTTGGTGAAAACTAGCAGTCATCTGACTGTATCCAGTTCTTGTCATCATCAAGACTTCAAGTTTTATGTTACACTTAAGTTTGTGGACTCTGAGTCAAGTTATTGTAGAATTGAGAGGCTTTAATTTAGAATTATAGATGTTACAAAGTTTTATTACATAGAGATCTGTATTATATAGGTCTTTGTGTATGAAATCAGGCAAAAACTTCTTTAGTGATAGCATTTGGTGCTTTCACGTGGCTGCCTAACAGAATGAAGTGTGATTATGGTTTTACCTCAAGTATAGCTGCACACGCTCTACATGACCAGGGGGCTGCCATTAGCACCTCCATGCAGTAGTCTCTTGTCTCACATGCCCTTACCAACCTGTTGTTTGTTCTGTGTATGAGGGAAGGTTGATAATTTGAACTGGATGCTGCAACATCTGCAAATTCACATAGTCATAAAAAAAAAACAGGTCGTAGTAAGTAAGACAAAAGAAGGATCGAGTGACTACCTATGAAGGTCCTTGCCTTGTGCTGCTCATTGGAAATTGAAGTGGGATACCAGCATTTCCAAACTTTTGCAGTCTGAAGTCTTGCTTTGACTTCAATCAATCATACTGCTTCAGTTTTATTTGAGGTTTCATCTGAAAATATGTGCTTAGCTCTGTAGAAGAAAAGGTGTAGGATATATTAAAAATGTAGTACCTCTGCATATACCAGTACGACTTGTGAATAATAACTGATCTTTCTCTCAAATATATTATTCTGTAGGTATCATGGCAGATGACCTTGACGTGGAGGCCTTGCTGGAGGCACCTTATCGAAAGGTGATTTTCTTTCCATTTCATTCTGTTGGGAAGCAGACAGCCATGCATTTGAACACTACTATGTTGCTAAAGTATTTTTGTCTAAGTTGTGTGCATAGCAGTTGCCAAGTTAACATTAACTGTCAGATATAATCATAGCAGTTACAGTAGTTTTTGAAAAGTTTAGTCTTTCTAAAGCATGAGCTTATGCCAACTTGTGTTGTCATAATTATCTAGTATGATGCGCATTCTCAGATAAGCATTGTTATCTATGTTTGCCTTGTGAAACTGGGGTGCCACCTCTACATAATGTGTCCGCTTTGGTCTTATAGACCCCCCACACTAGACACCAGCATTCTTCCCTAGCTACCATTGGGACACTGCAAGAAGGTAGTAACCTCTGAAGGGCATCATCACTTGATTGTTCTTTTCTCTATTTTTTTTGTATTATTCTTTCATTTTATTTTTAAAACCTGGTTATATATAACAGAACATTTAAGCATAATTTTAGTAACAGTGCTTAGCATTTGTTTTGCTAATGCAAATGCTTATCTAAAATATAAAATATTTATAATGATAGTAATGTCAGCATTATGCATATAACGAAATGTGTAGTTCATATCTGGACAGGCCCAAGCCTTGTCTGTAGCCACTGTGAACTAACTACTTCTATACTACATTTTGTCGTGATTTGTCGCAAGGATAATATCCTTGTTGTAAGGCAGTGTGAGGCTTTGGCGCGCTATTGCACAGCCGACATCACCAGGGTCTCGCTTCTGAAATGGTGTACCATTCCTCTTGTCTCAGGGATGGCTGGGAAAAGAAGGCTGCCGCCCTCCCTACGTTTGAAACTCTTCAGCGAAGCCTTTCCTTGGAGGCTGATTTCTCGCAAAACAAACAACGAACGCATTTGTGAACAGAGACATTCGCGACTTTTCCTCCTTGGAGACTTTTTTTTTCTTTCTCTCTCTCTAGGTCATTCCAAGAACAGATGATTGTCTTCATTTCTGTATCTCTCTTTTTTGTTTAAATGTTCTTGTATGTGTGGGGTCCGATTGAGAGTGTGTATGTGTGTGTGTGCATTTGCATAATGTACAGGCTCGACTCCCTTGTGCTGCAAGTACTTGTCATCTTGTGGACTGATGTTTTACTTTAAAAAGTACAAGACTGCAGCAAGTCATGCCATAGTCACAGTGACAAGGCTGTGGACGAACTATGATTTTTAAAGGATAGTGCAGCCTAGACTATTGGATGCAAGCATTACTGAATAGACTCTGTTTTCTATTGTGGTGTTTAAAAAGCATTCTTCGCATTGATATGCATTCCCTTCACAGTTATAATGCATATTTATTTTTTGTACAGCATTAGATGTACGGTAGTTTTTAAAGGGAGACTAAAGGCGAATATCTGAGTTACACAGGCATGCCAACTTCAATCATGATGAACCTCAGTTAACCAGAATTAGTTACCCCAACCGCATTTGTTAAGGGTTGGGGACAGGTCACATAATACGCTGTATTGTGAACCAATAAAATGTATTTCCTTTAGAGCAGGGGTTGGCTACCTTTTGCAGCGGAGAGCAGGGTTGTGCGGAACCAACATGGAGAGAGAAAGAAAAAAAATTTGCAAATTGACAACAATGTACAAAACCGGTGTAGAAATCGTGTTTTCTTTTAATAGTAAATGAGCTTCTTTACAATCGACAAGGGAGAGAGAGTCGAGAGAGGAACCTTGCAGTAGAGATAGGCAGTGATACGAGAAGGGATACTTGTGCCGACGGCATTATATAACAATGCCCTGAGGGCCGCAAGATGCTGACTCCTGCTTTAATGTAACTCTTTCTGTTTGCATTGGCAGTCTGCAAACTTTCAAGTATTTTGACAATATTTTGACAAATATTTAAGTGATTGGCAATATTTGGCATAAATCAAGGCTTGCAACTACGGGTACAGTCACCTTGCTGTTGGGGCAAAATGCTAAACAGTCCCTTGCTTGGTACGTTGTGGTGTCATCATGCGTGCTATTTTGTACGTTGTCAAATTCCCCCTGTTGTCAAACTCCATCATTGGTCAACTCGTGATGGGTCTAGAGGGCTTTTGTGGCCTCTCTGTTGGCTTAAAGGGGCCCTGAAACACTTTTTGAGTAACCATAAGAATCAATTCACTGGAAAAGCATATTGATTCACAAATTGAATGCCACAAAAATTTTAAGAATCTGTCTAGTACGAGTGGAGTTGCAAAGATTTGTCACATGCTGCAATCACATTCTCTCTTCTCTCGTCCTGACAAAAGCGCTGGAAGCTAAGCAGGAGGGATGAGAGGGGCAAACAAAAAAAGGTCACGCGCACCTCGTCACTTTGAGCACTTTTTTTTTTCTTCGAAGACGCGAGTTTTTTCGCGTGATCGTGCATGCAGGCGTGGACGACTTTCACGGCGATCTCTGTAACAACCGAGCGGGCCGTGCTCAAATCAGCCCATGGCTGATAGATGGGCAATCTACGTGTGATTTTGAGCGTCTTCTGTCATTTGTCGAGGGAAGAGAAAGCAATTTTTAGCTGACTTTGATAATTTATCATGAATTCAAGGCTGGGTGTTGTGCTATAACATTTGGCTCGCGTGTTCTCGGAAGCCTCTACTACTGATCGGCATCGTTTCTGAACATGCCCAAAAAAGTGTTGCAGGGCCCCTTTAAATGTTGGAGTTAGGCATCATGTGGAAATTTTACAGCGTCCAGATAGCACCCAACATTTGGTATTGAGACACCCATTGTTTGTCTAGCGTAACAGTTTCGCATATCAGTTGTTCTGTTGTTGAGACATACCAGTTCACTCATTATTCGGAACACTTCTTGGCTTTCATTAGAGCAACATTGCCTGCGACTATCCACTTGGGTCACGCCACTCTGTTAGCTTCCTTATAGGCCAACTCCGACGATATATTGAGGTCAATGGATCTCAATGAAATTCACTAGGTGCATTCATTTGCATGTTTGTGCCATTCATGCCAAATTGCAGGCTTGAGAGTTTCGCAGGTTCTTATATAATGAATTTCATAGCTTGCCAGAATTAATGGCAACATTGTGTGTTGTCAATTTTTGCCTGGTGCAAGTGACAGAACTGATGTGACACTGCGCGTCTGCTTGTCTGCCATGCATTGTGGGGTTTGACCGGTGCTTCTTGGTTGAGCGTGCAATTTCTTTTCCGTGTTACTGGTGTGTGGTTGGTGACAAGTGGTGTTGCTTTGTGGGCCGCACACTATTCACCATATATTCACCATAACAGCGTAAGCGTTTCAGCCTATCGCCGCAGGCACAAATTGGACAGCGTGGACAGGTAGTTCCATCTAGCAGGCATTATACGCAAGCAGGCAGGTTCGGGCAAAGGATTACGTTGCACGTAGAAGAGCACTCGATTGGGTTTTGGCTTCAAAAATATTTTTGAATTGTTGAGCATTTTAGCTATCGGGCGCGTGAGAGGGTGTCTCAGGAACATAAAAGCCCGTTATGCTGACATAGTCTAAAAATCACTGGAGTTGGCCTTTGAAGGGCCTGCAACCTTACCGACTTGGCCAGAAAATGCGGCCAATCGGTAACCGAAGCTCCCGAGAACACGCGAGCCAAATAATATAGTGCAGCATGCAGCCTGGAAGTTACAATAAAGTATCAAGATGAACTAAAAATGTTTTCTCTTCTTTTAACAAATGATGCTGTATACTCAAAAATAATTGCACCACAAGCCCAAGTATTACGCCATTGACTTATTTGGGCAGGGTGCGCTTGGGAGTCACTGCGTCCACTGCGGGAGGCGGCACCTGTCTATGGGCAAGTGCGATTACGCTGAAAATCCGTGCTGGTCGCACTAGCACGTTCGGGAAAAAAAGAAACTCAAGGTCATAAGGTGCACGTGACGTACCTTCTTCTCTTATGCTTAGCTTCGAGTGCTTTGTGAGTGAGGAGAGAGAGAAAGCAATTACAGCATGCGATGATTACTTGACTGCACTGATTATAAAATTTTTGCTGCGGTCGATTATCATTTTCTATGTGAAACCATTTCATATCTATTTGGAAAAGGTTACAGGGCCCATTCAACTGAAATTTTCAGCTTCTGTTTGGAGCAAAAATGGTTAGGTGTTCACTGCAGTTGTACGTTCATACTGGATTTAACTAGGTTTTGGGTAACTGGGGTTCGTTTTAGCTCAGCGTGCCTGTGTAACCAGGGTGTAAGTTAGGTCAGTGATAGATTAATGTTTCAGGACATCTAAAAAGTCATTACTATAATTAAATGTGCTTCAAATTGTGAGAAATATAAGGCAAATTAGAATGTGGATTGTGGCTCAAGCGGAACAGGAACATTGTAGTGCTACTTTGATAACATGGCAACTACTCGATGTAACTTTTTCACTCACACCAATTATCATTTTACAAAGATCATTGCAGTGCCTTGTAACATTTAAAAAATGCTATTGTTTCTGCGTATCTATTTGATTCTAGGGAAAAAAAGTTTTTCTTACCCCTGGTGGGGTCAAATCTCACATTTAAGCAACAGCTTTGGCGAAGTAAAAGCTGCTAATCGCAATGGCTATCTATGGTTGTACTGAAAATGTCATATTCTGTGGCACAATCCCGAAACGCATCATGGCGTACAGTTTCTGACACCATCTCTTGATGATGAACTTGGTAGTTAAAAAACGAGAGTTTAGGATAGTTTGGTTTTGTGAAGGACCTGCTGCTTGTAAGACACCCTAATTACAAATTAAAGAAAATACGGTCTTTGTGTGCTGTTCTTACTCCCCCGTGATGTTTTACTTTAGGAACCATAGCACGGCTTTCGAGCAGTGAAGGGGTGTGATGCCATATGCAATCAGCTCCTCTAGGGGAATAGATTTAAATGCAGTTTTTTCTTAAAGTTAGCATTTGCCTTGCACAAAAGAAGCAGTATCGAGGCTTTTGGAATTGTGTTTTCGCAGTCCGTATGACTTTAGTGTTTTACACCATCGCCCCGCCACGGTGGTCTAGTGGCTAAGGTACTCGGCTGCTGACCCGCAGGTCGCGGGATCAAATCCCGGCTGTGGCGGCTGCATTTCCGATGGAGGCGGAAATGTTGAAGGCCCGTGTACTCAGATTTGCGTGCACGTTAAAGAACCCCAGGTGGTCAAAATTTCCGGAGCCCTCCACTACGGCGTCTCTCATAATCAAATAGTGGTTTTGGGCCGTTAAACCCCACATATCAATCCTTTACACCATAGTTGAAAACACATTGTAAAATAAATATAATATGCTGCACAAGTACGTATTTATTTAACAAAGTTTTTTAGCTTTAATTATCTTCTAAACACTGGTGTTGCTGACTTGGTTTAGTTTAGTCTGCTTGCATATTACAGGCACTTGATTTGAAGTAATATCTAAAGTAGGCTATTGAATGTCATTTGAGTCTATGTAATGTTAACTCAAGATTTCTGTGGTTTCACGTTATGGTGTTTCGGAAGCATTGCATGTGACTGAAAATACCGATCTTGCGTTAGTGGGGTGGATGTGCATGAATGGGTGTAGATGGCGTCAGAGTGTTTGGTCCCATCTTTTGCAGGTTTACCAGGATGATTCATCAGGTAATATTGAAATTGTGGTGTTTTTGTTGTTTTGTTCATTTTTAAAGCTGTTACTGCATTATATTGTGATTCTTGAATATCTGATGCAGGACTGAGCTGAATGGTGATGCTGCAAGTTGGTTACAGTCGGTGATTGTGCCTTGTGATACTTTTCGTTGATTTATCCCTAAGCCTCCCTTCATACCTTAGTGTTTTAAAGTTAATACACGTGAAAGGGGCTTTCTTACTTGATGGCCTGTACAGAAAAGAAAGCAGAAAAGCTTCACCAGCTTCTAAGCATTATCCTCATGCTTTAAGCTGGTGGCAGGCAGCTCCTCTATTTTCCCCTTGGGGATAGTGTTTGCTCATTTGTGCTCTTCCCCCCTTTTTTGCCCTTATTCCTTCCCCTCCGCTGTTGAACAAGTACACATCAACGGTCCTGACCAATTGACTTCTGGCCTGGCGGATATGGCGGGTGTCTTCGTGCTGCTTTTTGATCCTCTCCACGCTCACAAAATCTCCAACAGGAGGAGGTGAATGGTGCAGGGAGCCTTCATCAAGCAAGTTCATCTGGAGAAGGCACTAAAGGCTCGGCTGACAAGGAGAACAGGCAGTAAGTGCTTAATGTGACTTTTCACACTGGCATGACGCGCTTCTGTCAACCAGGCATGATTCTGTATCGTTGGGTTACTTTGGTGTCTGGTTCAGGCTGCTAATTGAGAGCTACCTCCGTGGTAGTTTAGTGGGCTATGTTTCACACACAAAATTTAATAGCACCTAAGTATTTCGATTTAAGTGCATGCTAGGGAATTACAAGTGCGGAAAACTAATTCAGAGCCCTCCACAACACCATGACTCATAATATGTCGCAATTTAGGCATGTAAAATACCAGAACTTCGTCCTTGAAATGCATTATTTAAATCTCTTGACACATGCTCAACTTCAGCTAGAGATACCCAGCTTGTAGTAATTGAGGGGGGGCTATTTGTGAGCATTTTATTACAGAACGAAAGCATTGATGGAACAAAACGTCGAGAGACAAGTGGAAGTTGGACGGGACTGGTCAAAGCTTGCCTGTCGATCAGATGTGAGAATAGTGATTGGAAATGGCAGTGCTATAATTCATTTCGGCACAGAACAGGCACAGAAAGGACGAAGATCCCATTTTGTCTGATAAAACGGATACAGAGACCAGATGACTTGGATTAGGTGGAAACATAAGCGCTGGGGCTGTAGAATAGAATTTGCCTGCTTTGCGTCTTGCTTACTCTAATGCCGCGCCCGTTGCTACACAACCTATGTCCATTCCAGAAATTGACACAATGCAGTCGCCGACTGATTTTCCGGGCGTGGCGGGAACCGTGTAATAGACCGAAAAATCGAAGTCCTTTTCAGACCTTTTAATGTAAATAGAAGTTTGTGTGGATTAGAAAGGAATAAAAACAATCCCTATTGTGCAATGCTTCATGCTATTCTTGGGTACGAGCAAACTTGGTTCTATTTGGGCTACAGTAACATCGTTGAAAGCGGGCTGGAAATCGCTGCTGCTGACCGCTGAGGGCGGCAAAGTTGGTGGCTCCATGGAACCAAGCAAATAAAACTTTACGCCGGTCGCAAGAAAATAAATGCAATGTCTCGCTTGCTTGGTGGGATTTAACAACACGGTCTGGGCTGCTTTTACCTGCACCGACACCGCACAATACGTGAGCCTCCAGGATTTCGGCACCATCAAAACGCTACTGTTGCGGCTATGATCGAACCCGCGTGTTCCAGGTCAGTAGCCGAGAGCTGTGACCACGAAGTGCTACTGAGCTATCGCGAACAGCAGCGAGCATGTGACGCTGCTGTTCACGACCACGTGCACATTGACGACCAAAAAACTAACTCCCAGAAAACCTACCGGCATATTAATGATAATGATGAGGCTGGCTAAAAAAGAAAGGTTTTGCTGTTTCGCTGCCAAGGAGATCAGTCATGGCCTCTGAAACTGGAACATTGTGCGCACTTCCAATATTGAAGGCTATACAACTAGCCACTGCAAGCCTAACTGGACCAAGCTAAAAGAAAATCTAACATGGCGGCTTTCAAAAACGAGAGGTATAGCTCGAAACCAATGATTTAGTCCGAAAATCAAGCTTTGGAACACGAATTCGTCTGAAAAATTGGTCGTGCAAATACATTAGTGCAGTGGGAACCTTGACGGTGCATTTGTGAAGTCCGAAATATCCAACAAGTCCAAATATTCGGAGTAAAAAAAATCCCTTAGTGGCTGTAAATTGTTAGTGTCATGATGCTCTTTCATTTCAAGCTTTAAAAACTGTGCCTGCCACTGTCGATGTTCAGCTATAATTAATATTTCTTTGTAGTTTATATTGTGCCCTAAAGCCAATGTCTGCGGCATTGTAAACAAATAAAAATAAATTAAAATTTCATGCTAGACCGGCGCCGCTGGTCGGGTGATGTAGGGATAATGGGGGGGGGGGGGGAAACTCTCCTATCCCTTTTGCATCGCCCTTTGCGCATGCTCGTGCTTTTGGGAAACAATTAGCAGTTCCTAACCAGGTGTTGTCTCTGTTTTTACTCTAACTCTTCATGTCCTGAAAACATTTTGGAATTCCCTCAGATCCCCTATGGACTGTTTGCTTCCTGTCTTGACGTTTCATTTCATCAAAAATAGCCCACCCCCCCTCCCCGGTCCACAGGTAATTTGGCCACTGCCAAGCAATTTGGTCTGCTCTTAAAACTCGGTAATGCCTGTTTCAGGTGCTATAGTGGGGTTAACACTTTTTTTAAAAACGTAAACAGCTACAGCTTGTATGAGCAGTTGTCATTGCCATGTCCTGCGAAAATAATTTCTGAACAGCTTGTGACATCTGACAGTCATAGATATCCTACTATTGCTTTCATTGAGCTCTTCCTGAAATAATTTTTTGTACAATATTCAACTTGGGTTTTTATCCTGTTTTGTTTTTAGTGTTGCTTGTACAGGTAACCCTTTCAAGGACGATTTTTTTATGAAATGCACTCTGAAAATTTTTTTTTGTTCATGAATTAAAATTTTCAGATGATTCTATTATATAAAAAACTGTCTAAAATTTTGTGCATGGCTGTAAAGCAACAAAAAAGCATAATTTATTATACACCCATGGTTTATTCATAATGTTGATCTAAATCCTTAAAAAAAAACACAAAGTATAAAACCTAGTTTATATACATACGTAGGGGGTGGAAGTGCTGTCCCAATTATGCCACGCTGCACCAAACTGCCTCTGTTGCTCCATCCTTCTCCAAAGTGCGTTATTGCCCTGACACTGCTCCCACAGTCTTGGTGCCTTCATGTGCATTTGTGCACATGAAGTCATCTGCGATGTGGCACGCCAAAGCGAGCTCCTATCACAGCAGTTGATGTGCTGCACCAATTGCTCCATTCTGCTCCAATTTGACCTGCTGCGCCAGGCTGCGCATAAACAGCAATTTCTGCAGTGTGGGGGTCTCGCTGTGGAGAGTGCCATGCTCTTGGAGTGAACGGACACAGTAGACGCGGTGGAAACGAATCAAACAGACATACATTTATTTTAACCACTTTCAGAACGACGATATTGCCAGCTGAATTAATATTAGTATAGTACATAAATTGTGATCCACATGCTAGAACAACCTTACACAACATTCCACGACACTCGGCAACATAACAAACACATGGCAGTGTCGCCAACGCTCGACTCACAACGAGGGCCCACGGCAGACGTTCTGCGGTGCGGTCTTCTACAGACCCGCCGCAAGAGAAGATCGTTTGCCAACCGCCACGCGCAAAAGAGGACTGCTCATCTCTCATGCCCTGCCACCGTGCTCACCATGATGATGATGGTGGTGATAAACGCTCGTGAACACGCCACCTACCCTCGATAGTTGTAACCCCTGAATGGGACCTTCGTGCGAAACATTTGCACCACGAGGTGCAAATGACTTTACAGGAAGTGTTAACACCCTACATTACCCCAATCTTAATTCGAACCATCCTGAAAAAAAAAGAGAACATGAAAGAAATCAGCTACACAAGTTCTAACAAACGATGACATTACATGTCCCTAAATAATGCCCGTGCATGACAACATCGCCGCCAATCGACACTCGACGACTTCACCTAAGTCCGGTTTCACAATGGCAACACCATCGGCGCGAAGAACCGTCACTTGTGCCGACACGTCTTCTGGTTGTCACCAGTACTCACGAGGGCACCGGACTGCAGGCAGTCGCGTAGGTCCCAGGCATGTTGTGGGGTCTAGAATTGGCGAGCGCCACGCTCTTGGAGTGAACGGACACAGTAGACACAGTCGGAACAAACCAAACACACGTTTATTTCTCTCCTTTAGAATGATGATATCGTCAGCCGAATTGTTATAACACCAATCCTGATCAACACGTTACGACATCCTTACACAATATTACTCAGCACGTAGCAACATAAGAAACACAAGAGCACACAAAAAGCGGCGTCGCCAACGCTTGACTCACCGCGCGAGTCCCTGGCAGACGGCCCGCGGTGCCGTGCACCTGGGACACGCCGCGAGAGCAACCATTCATGCCAAATGCCACCAGCCAAAGAGACTCGCTCAACTCTCTCACCAGCCACCAAGGCTTGCCTTCCGCCAGGGATCACCGCCGGCGCTACCACTCTGCCAACCATGATGATGATAGGGGTGATCACCGCTCGTGTACACTACGCCACCTATCGCTCAATAGCCGTGACCTCGAAATACGGCTTCTGCGCGAGGCATGTGCGCCACATGGTGCAAACAACTTACAGGGCAGTGTCAGTACCCCCGCAATGTTCATCGCCTGATCTCACGACCGCATTCCTGACTAACGGCAAAGACGATGTCTAGAAGACAGCCAGAGCGGGTTACATTCAAAGTAGCTGCGCACACTCAAAACACTCGAAAGAACAATGCAGTAGGCATAAAGAAGGGAGCTTCGGGCTCCTTGCTTACATGGTACAATGGTCAGTACTGCTAGCAAATACATTGACGGCAACCGAGACGCCCAGCTCAAATAAAATAGAAAGGTCACTTTTCTTAACTTGTGCATTGCAAGATTTAAAAAAAAAAGTGAAGGAAGAATAGTGCAATACCTCAACGTCACGATCCTCCTAATTGTGCCACGTGCGACAGGTGGCTTGCAGAGCCTTAGGCCTAATGAGTCGTTTGACAACAACCGGCATCCACCCAGCCTAGAGCAGAGAAAGGCAGCCGCAAGGAGACATCCACTCTGTAAGGTAGCCCTACTCGCTCGCCGTAGACAGTAGCTTACCGAGCGATTGGCACCCACCATAACGGACGACACCCTGGCATGGAGCCGCAAGACAAGACAGCGACGACGCCCAACTCCCCGAGTCCAAAAAGATAGAGAAAATTTACAGAAAATTGGACCACCTACACAAGGCGTCTGTACTCGCTCACTCTGGTCTTGGCCTACAGTCCACGTCCTCTAAGCTTAGCTCACCCCAGGATGCAGACCATATGGCTCTCATCCTAACTCAACAACCTTCTTGAAAACGATCATCAAAGAAAAACACTTGTTGCGGGTGGCTCTCATCCTAACTCAACAACCTTCTTGAAAACGATCATCAAAGAAAAACACTTGTTGCGGGTAGGAAAAAAAAAAAACTCAACGTGCCGACAAGTTCAAGCACGTTACAACTGATTTCCTCGCTATCAACCAAGCACACCACTAACTCTAGCCCCTAGGCCTACTCCACCCCAGAAAAAAAAAAAAAAAAAAAAGTGGTTTCGAACTGCGAAAACTGTGGCCCGAAACTTCAAGAGCCCCACGTTGGGCAGCCAGTGCAGTTTCTCGCTTTGGAGAGCGCCGCACTCTTGGAGTGAACTGACACAGTAGACGTAGTCGAACTAAACGAAACAAACGCACATTTATTAACTACTTTTAAAACAATATCTCGAGCCGAATTAATATACATGACATGTGAGCCACACGCTAAAACAGTCTTGCACAATATTCTACAACACTCGGCAACATAACAAACACAAGGCGGCGGCGCCAACGCTCTAGACTCGCCACGAGGGCCCATGGCATACGACCCGCGGTGCCGTCTAACGCGAACCCGCCGCAAGAAAAGAGACCGTTCGCACCATTCGTCACGCGCAAAAAAGGGCCGCTCATCATTCATGCGCCGCCATCCAGGCTTGCTGCCAGGCGTCTCTGCCAGCGCGACTGCGCTCACCATGATGATGGTGATGATAAACGGTCGCGAGCACCACGCCACCTCCCGCTCGGTAGTTGTGACCCCCGAATGTGGCCTATACGCGAAACACGTGCGCCACGAGGCACAAATGACTTTACAGGAGTGTGTTAGTGCCTCCACAGCGGTTATAGTCGATTGGAAGCGCAAACTGCCAAATCTAGCCAATTATTATCGTCGACCGAGCAACACTGAGTGTCGGCTGCACAAAGGACATGGCCGCAATCATATTCAGTGTAGTTCGACCGCATGTTCGATCATGATCACATTGTAATTCAGTTCATTCATGGGGCTTGCTGTTATTGCCTCGGTTTCTCCTTGAAAGTGGTGACACCAACGTGAATAACTCTGGATTATCTAGTAACGCAGTGAAACCTGGATAATTGCAGGAGCTGGGAACGCGGCATGATCGTGTACTGAACAGCAGAACGCGTTTAAAAGTAAAAATGTGTCATCTCCTTGAAAACTCGACTTGCTGCGCAAGCTGAAGGAAAATGAGATGGGAGACGAGAAAGAGTGCAGTGCTGTGCCCCTTCCTGTCTCCCTTCTCGTTTTTCCTTTATATTGCGCATTAAGTCGAGTTTTCAAGTACAAACCAACTAGTCCACAAAGAAGTAGTGCATCTGCTGACATATGCCATTGCCACCAGTAAACAAATACTGTACCACAGCAGATGTTGCCCAAAGTGCCCAGCAGGAAGTCTTTCTCCTTTGCTGAAGTGCGGAAAAAATACTTGGCTGGCACTCTTGCACGATCCTTTGATAGCGCGCAGTGGCGACACCAAAGAGTATTTAAAAATTATCACAGGGTTTGGAATATGCAGCGACTGAAATAGTGACAGAAAGGACACTATCGGCTTTCCACGATACATATGTGCGCATCTACACGGCGATCTGATGCTAAGTGACAACTGACAGCTTCATTGAAACACAGAGCAATTATGTGGACTCCATCATCTCCTGGCTAGTTGCATGCAGTGCGGCGCCCATGTCGTTACTGCCGGGTGGCTAGTTGTACCATGCGCACGGATTTGTCGTGTGAATTGCTCATGCTCACTACGCTTCAGACTGAGCACAGATCAGCAAAGTAGCTTGTTTAATTAGCTTGGGCATAACAAACTTCCGCTAATCGAAAGGTGCCACGATTATCTAGCGGTCATGAAAACAAGATAAAGATTGCTTATCCCTGCTTTTCTCCGAGTTATTTCTTTGTCATCTGTGATCTTTAATGTAGGAATGTGGACGCACTCACACACGCACTCATACGCATTTGTAGGTAGTAAGTCAGGTTGAATGTTTAGTGAAAACCATTAGAATTTTTATTGACCAGAAATAATTTCGATTGACAATGATGTTTGACGCTGGAAGGTAGCTCCAAAACACACCCTTCGGTGCTCCGAACCTGCTCCAATACTACCATTTTATTGTACCAAGGCTGCTCTAAAACAGCATTATTTCTGCTCCCTAAGCTGCTCCAAAACACTGAAGTCTACTTGCACCCCTGTATCATCATTGGACGTGCTTTGTGACAGACTGCACAAACCAATTAGTTTTGCCTCGAGGGCAAAGCAATGAATGCTATAGCAATAAATTGTAATGATATGTGAAGTAGGTCTATCAGCTAACTCTTTTGATCCTATCTCGCGTAACTTCAAAATGCTGGAGGTGCAAGGGAATGTGGCCACGCCATGGAGCGAAGCAGTTTTCCTACTCTATAATCTCAGCTCAAAGTAAGCAGACAGTTAGCTGATGCTGTCGAGATAGCGCACGCGTCAGTGCCAGTTATCGTGCCCTTATGGTCAAAGTTCAAGCTGCTGCTCTAATGACGCTCTTGAGGCAAAGTTCTAGTTTCCAAAACTTTCAAACTGTTTCCCACCAAATCATGCTTGTGAGTGTGCACATTGTGGCATCCCTATGTCTACTAATGGCACAGTTGGCAAATTCTTGAGTGCCATTAGTGCCGGAGAGTTTCCCCTTGTTCACAAACTACGGAAGTGGGGATGTGGCTTGTGGTAACTTCATCGTTAAATCCAAAGTTCAATGTGAATTCGTTTATTTAATAAGCTAAGTGACTTAGTGGGGCATCAACTGTGTAATTTAGTGAAAAGCAGTTACTCCTGCTACAGATCTGCTCCAAACAAGCTTTTTTTTCTGCTCCAAAAATCGCTCCAAATTAGAAACTGGCTGGACCACCATTGAGTAAGGTCAGAACCCCAACCTGAAGTTATTTCTACTAAGCGAACTTTTGTTCATTCATGAGAAGAAAGCGTTTGTCTTAAGCATGCGCTCATGCACTTAAGCGCGACTGTCCATGTTGATAGAAGTAAGTCACAAAAGAGGCTCCATGTTATAAGCTGCCTCTAAATGATGCCTCGCAATCTGTTTGGCTACAGTGTATCTGCTTTCCATTCTTGGGGATATGGAAAAACATCTTTGTTATTGGTATACATGCGGAATCATTGCAAGGAATGGACATGAGTCAGGCACGTTTTTATTTGAAGGCAAGTGCCCTGCTGACAGCTATTTCCCGAGTTGCGCATCTTTATGGTGTCACGGTATTGGTTGAAGCCCAATTCTTAGGCTGTACGCTCAGTTCAAGATACAGAGGAAGAAATATTTAGATACAGAGGAAGAAATATTTATTTAAAACTCCTGTTAAAACAAGCGTTCGCGGGTGTGCCGATAAAGTCGCAAAAACCAGCTATGTGCGACCTGGTTAGGCCCTTTTAGGGTGCCTCAAAATCGTCCCAGTAGACCTTTAAAGGCGGTGCACTGGCACGAAATTTCGCGGCCGAGATAGCTTGCAGGATCGATTCCTGAAAGCATGTGTATATCATCTGCTAAATATCAATAGCAAATATAGCTGGGGAGGTATTTAAAATAATTTTGAAGTTTGCATAAGCATATATGGGGACAGATTTTTTGTACAAAGTATGTCGCAAAGATGGCAAATAAACTTATTATTATTACTGTAGACTCATTCGCACTATTGACACCCTCAGACGTGATCTTTCGAGACCACCTACTTCCCTCACGTGACCACGTTGCAGCACGTTATCATGACATCATAGTTGTTTTTCTTGTGCTGCGTTTGCACCAGCAGACTATTACTCAGCAACTGCTCGTGAGTTAGTGGCCGCGGTGCACACGTTGAAAGTTGTGTGTTTGGCAACACTGCTGTTTCCTGTTTGAAAGAAATTCTTGGATGCGGACCATGAGGAAGTGCGTCACAGTTCTGTGTGCTGATGTAATTGAAAGTGGCACTCAGTCGTTTTTGGAGTGCTCGAAAAACCAAAACTGAGACTGGTAGGTAATGAGGAGCCTGTGATTTTCTGTCGCACTCTGCAGCAAACGATGTGCCTTGTTATGACTAACAGGCCTCCAGCAACATATTGCAGCAAGAAAATGTGGAGCCAAACTTTTTGTGCCGGTACCCTTTTAAGTCACATTGGTGTCACACAGAAAAGTGTGCTACGATTGGTTAGTAGCTGCTAGATGTCGCAGGACATGGCTCATTCTGTCAATTTTTTACATGTGCATGCATGTGCCATATAATGACAAATACAGTGGACTCTCAATAAATGGAAATCTGTTAAACAGAACTGCTGTTTAAATGGAACAACTGCCTCTGATATGATTGGTTTCATCCCTGCATACTGCACACTAGTTCACCTCCCAGTAAATGGAAGTCTTGTTAAATGGAACACATTTTCCCGGTCCCTTCAGGTTTCCACTGTACTATTATTGTCGATGTCTGAAAACGTCACTGGCAATCGTACAAGGCTGTCTATGGCATTGCTGTGGGCGTGAGAAAAAATAAATTGAAATGCTTGACAGATTTCTTTTGTAGCATAAAAGCATGCTGATTGGCATATTAGTTCTTGATGTTTTTCGGTGACGTGAATCTAAACTAACATGGACATTTTTGTGACCCTGTTAGATTTCTGTCACAATGATTCTACTGCTATTCGCTATTGCTTTGTGAATCTAGTTGCCAGAAACTTTTTAATTATATCGTCTTGACTGTTCCAGTGGTAGCAGCAGCAAAAAAAGGCGCAGTAGAAGCCGGAGCCGGAGCCGAGGTCATGGACGTCACAGAAGCCGAAGCCGTGGCAGGGATAAGCGTCGTTCCAGGTCCCGGTCTCGAGAGCGAAGGCGGCGGCGTTCGCGCAGCCCTGGACGTCGACGAGGGCCACCGCTGCCTCCCCGACCGCGAAGCCGGTAAGCAGTTGTTTAGTTTTTGTACGAATTTGCCACAGAAGCCTGTTCTTGCTATTGTCTGTTAGTTTATGTGCACTAGAATTCATACTCTGTCACTTTTAAAATGTAGCTACGCTACGATAATTTTTTAGTTAGATCACAACAGAAGGTTTTGACTGGTTTCTTTGCCTGGTACAAGACTGTTATTTCAATTTGGAAATTCGCCTTAGCTGTCTTGAATGCACCAAACCGTTTTGGTGAGCGCACAGGGGTGGCTCTAATGCAGTGAAACCTTGTTTGACACAGTTGAATGTGGGGTCAAATTTATTTTGTTATTTAAAAAACTTTACATCCTTCCTGCGCATATGCTGCTGGAAAAATTTACTATATTTACTCGATTTTCAGCACCCCCTTCTTTCCACTATATTCCACATGCTCCACAAAATATATAAAAATAATTATTTGAATATAGTTTGGCTGGTATCTTTGAAAAAGCCATGACATTTCAAATCACCACAAGCAAGGGTGTGGTGAGTTGAAATCACCACAAGCGAGGGTGTGGTGATTTGAAATTTTTTTTTTCAGAAATAGGGCATCTTTTTCAAGAGCCGGCTGCATCAGTTCAAATTTTTTCGAGTCGCTGGCGTAGAGTCGAGTTCAGCGCGAACCGCGTCTCGACATCTCGCATTTGCATCGATTTCTTTCTTAGTTAGCATACCTGCCAAGTCTCCCGGATTGGCCGGGAGACTCCCGGAAATCGAAATTTTGTGCATGATCCGGCCACCTTGACAAAAAAAGCAGCTCAATACACTCCAGGTTCTTCGAACCTACCCCATTTTATTATGAATGAGTTTAAGAGGCGTTCATCTAAGCGTACAGCAGAATCTCAGTGATGCAAAACTGCGACAGTTACGAATTCGTGAAATTTCCTAGTGAAATTCCACTATGTCTATTAGGCCCAAATTTGAATGTTCCGAACACATTTCCTAATCTCTGCGGGTGATACGAACTTTAGTACAGAAATTGTCGAACGAAGGCCGAGAGCAGCGTACTCGAAGCTTTGGAAATACGCGTGCGACCGGCGCACTCACTGTCTTCTACAGTGTGCGTGATTGTCGTTGTCACAACCGCTGTCGACGAAACCGTTGTCGCTTTTCACGCGATCATGTATGGCGACGACGTAACTGACAGAGTCCCGAAAGTGTGCGTGCGTTTAACACTCAACCAGTCAAAGCAATGCTTCTTTCCGTAAACCCAGCGGCATAACCGCAGCAGATGCGATCGTAGATCGCATAAAACGACTTTGTTTTGAAGGCGTGTGCGCAGTCAAGCTCACGGGGATAGAAAAAGGAACTACCATTTGCCGCAACTGCTGCGCACAACATCGCGGTCGCGGCGGTGCGATAGCGATCTACGAGCTCCGAGGGCACGCAGCGGTAGAGAAAGGCAGTAAATACGTAAAAAAAAGTCACTGTTTCATCGCAAGGGTGAAGCAATGAATGCGACAGCAACAACTTGGAATGTCACACTGAAAACTGCAAGCAGATCGAAACGTGCTGCGCGCTGCTCACGCACAGATGACACACGAAAACAGTAGACACAAGATGAGAGCGAAGTAACAACGTTTACCGTTCGACACGTAACTTGCTGTTTACGGGGGACGCGGCTTTGGGATTGCGAAAAAATGGCAAAAAAAAAAAATAGATTTTTGAAACTCAAGTTTTCAGTTTCTGGAACCCTTTTTCTATCTGGTTCCAAAATATCTACACTGAAAACCGCGCAGAAGTGCTTCGGAAAATTCATTTCACCCACCTAGGTAGCAAAACCTTTTCTGGAAATGGCGAGAAAACGGTGATTTTCAAAAAATTATAGCTTCGCGATGCTTGGGCCGGGAGCCGGCTTCTTGGGCTCATCGGAAAGAGCAGTTCTCAGTGTTTAACTTTCCCGCCTCAGCTGGCTCCTCCCTTTAATAACAAGCGAGCAAAAAGCAAATGTTTGAAGGTTGTTTTGAGGCCCTTGATTGGCCGTGGCGGCCATGTTGCCTCAGCTCGCCTCGCCATTGGCCCGATGCTCGCTCTGGGAGATCGTCGTCTGCTGCTTGTGCGTCGCGAGGACATGGCTCTCGAAAATCGCCACTTCTTCGTGACGTGTTCACGGCTTGATAATCACTTAAGATATAACTACGCTTTAGTTACGAGCAGTAAGCGGATGCGCGATGAGGTTACTACGAGCGCCGCGCGTCATCGGAGTCGTCTTTAGCCCTAACTCCGCTGACAGCGAGACTGCGGGCAGGAATGACGCGCTAGCGAATTTGTGGCGACGTGCTTCTTCGCAAGCAACGAAGCTGAAAGCGGCGGCACGATCTGATCACTACGAGTAGCCGCACCGGATGCACGATCAGATTACCACGAGCGGGCGCGCGGTGGTCTACGAGTGCTGCGCGTCATCGGAGTCGGCTTTAGGCCTAACTCCGCTGACAGCGATACTGCGAGCAGGAACGACGCGCAAGCGCAATCTTGGCGACGTGCTTCTTCGCAAGGAATGCATCACATCACTCGCTAGCTCCTCTGAATCACGTTCGGGCATTTTACGCATCGGCAGCGGACAACACAGTCAAACTCGTCCCCCCCCCCCCCCCCTTCACTGCCAAGGATCGCTCGGAACAGCGGCTAGCAGTTTCGCGCGTCGTCATTCGAAAATGCGATGCCAAGTGCTGTGCGTGCCGATTTTTTGTCTTCGTAGTTACACATTTCGCGCATCGTCATCGAACGCCGCCGGCAAGTGCATTACGCGCCGACTGCACTGTCCACGCGGTCGCGCACCCCACGGTCATATGGAGTGCTGTCAGTAAGCTTTTGTGATGCGATTCAGACGGGCTTGGAGCCGTGCTTGATATCGCCACGAACGTCTATGAATGTTCCGAGGTTAATGAATTGCTGTAGATTAGAGTTTCCGCGACCGGCTGTATGATGATGCGTTTGACAGCTAGAGCGGCGAAAGAGCATGTATGAATCAGGGTCACAAATTTTATATGCCTGTTTCGTGTCATTAATTATGCTAGAAATTCCCGTGCCACCAGTCTTCTGCCCATAACTTTGTTATTTAGAAAGAAGGCATAGGCTGTCATGGTGTGATCCATTTTTCTGATGCAATAAACCTCTCTCCAAATAAAGAAAAGTTCTGTGAATATTTGTAATCGAGTACCTAATTACGCTAATTATAACTTCAGCACAAAAAATATGTGTAATAATTTCAGTATATGGTTTTATTCAATTACAATCTTTTCTGTCATACCTATCACACCACTCCTTCATACAAAGAACTTGGTTAGAAATCCATACTTGTTCTTTGTAAATCATGAAAATGAGTAAATCATGAAAAGAAGTCAAATATCACCAGACAAACCTGAGATCACAATTTTTAGGTGTCTTAGAGACGTAAAGGAAAGTTGAAACTTTAAACGCAGTTTTTTCAATACTGTTTTTTTTTTTTGACATTATGCTTAGCCCCTCCACATGGTTCAATGAAGAAATAACTTGTTTCTCGTAAAGTATTTGTGGTATCACTCCAAAATTTTATGGAAGCACTGTGAGGTCATTCTCAGTGTCTGTGCCAATTTTCATCAATATCCAACGAGAAACAAAAAGTTCATTGAAAGAAACTTGTCGCAAACTGCGACAGGCTTTTTCTCAGAAGTGGTTTTGGACATTGTGCATTGCTCGTGGAAAGAGTAGCACGGGAATGACTGGACCGATTTTGATTGTTTTTTTTTTTCCTGAATCCCTGAACACTGCTTGTGAGTACAGCAATCTTCAGTTTCTGTTTTATGGCCCTGTTATTTTTATAGACGATGATTTCTCCGTGCCACTGTTTCTGACAATGTGTGTCGGCAGCCATGATGATCTCTAAAAAAAAAAAGAGAACTTGTTAAAAATTCTGAGAGTGCCATACCCTGTAGCTTTCTTATGAGTAAAGATCAACATCATTCGTAGCTTCCTGGCATGTTTTGTTGCAGCGCTAGGCTTTCCACGAGCAGACCATGTAATTGGATCATGTAGCATTATGTAACTTGAGAACTACTGAAGCTATCATGATGAAACTGCATATTTCCCTATTCGAGACACTTATGAGTATGCATGCCAAATTTTATTGCTGTAGGTGAGCAAATAAAAAAGTTTTTTTTTTAATGCCACCTCCCCCTTAAAAAAAAAAAAAGCAATGCTCGATAGATAATCACAGGTACGGGTGAGTACAAACTAACAAGTGTCCCAGTTATACCTCGCTGTGTGTGAAAAGCTTGCTCTTTTCGCAAACGGGGCCTGTGCATAGACCGAAAATACCTTTGTGGCCGGCAATTAACGCAATCGTTCTAGTAAAAGCCGAAGGCACACGATTCTCCCCATTGAGAGATAAGTGCTCACAAGCATAAACCTCCTCCCCCCCCCCCTCCACGGGGCAAAGTACTCATCGGAGATATGTGCGCGTTGGCGCATTGCGACGAGCTGGGCACCGAGAGTGGGTGGCTTTTTTTCCCTTTCTAGAGTGTTAATATATAAATAAATAAGGTGGCAACCCCAAAACCAACCTAGACTGTCGATACAAAGGGGCCAGAGGCGTTTTGGCGTTCCTGTCAAAAGAATCTAGCAGGGAGCAAAAGCTTTGACCCGTGCTTTTGCGGCAGCCAGCTGCGCCGTCCACGTGTCCTAGTAAGACATACACGAGCTGTTTGAAGGAAATAAATTCTGCTAGTTATGTTGATCCTTTGAGACTTTCACCTTAATGAGAAACCCTACCTTCGTGAGTTCGGCCACTGCAAGCAGACCTCAACAGCTAGAGGGGGGCAGCAAAAGGGGGCAAAAAGAAAGGGGGGCAGCAAAAGGGGGGTCGAGCTAGCGCACGTACCGTATAATGCGGAATATAGGTTGACCCCTTACCTTGACCAGCAAAAAAAAAGAAAAACACGGAATTATTCACGGCTTCACTTTATTTAGTCCTCCGAGCTGTTGGAGCTCTCCTCCGAC